ATAGTTATAAAACCGTTTTGCTATGGTATATATGAATCAGCGAATCCGTTAATATTCTCTCACTCCGTCCACTGTGGTATTAATGCCGTTAATATGACATTATTTGTTTATCATTTCTCCTGAATAATTATATTAACCCACATACATGACATTTATCTGCGCTACCCGAGGCACCGCTTCGAAATTATAATATAAAAAAGTAATATATTTTAGTTAACGAAAGTCGCATAGAGAATGATGCAATTGGTTTTGAAAAGAAGAAAAAATAGCAAGTGGCAGAAGTTTTACAAACCAAAACTTTTGCACAGACAAAATATGACAACTGATAAACTACCGTGCTAAAACGTGGAGTTTACTTTGAGTAATCCTAGCTTATCATTAAATGTATGTTAGCATACAAACTACGTTTAAAGCATATGTTCATGTACACAGAGCAGAAAAGTCAAATTTTAACCTTCCCAAAAAGAAGATCTTTCTTTTATTTTACTACAAACGTGTATGAACAACTAGACTATACCGACTGATGAGGAATTTCTGGTTTTACTTTGCACCAAAGACAAAGGCAATTATTTTATTCATTTGCCCTCAGGCGTTCGGTTCAGTTAGAACGATGCGCACCTCGACAAACACAGACATGATACCTTTGGAGACATGAGGATATATGATAAAAACATCGTTTATTCTCGAAACGATCTACACTACATTGCTCTGAGGAGAGGTGAAAAATAATTCGAGGGCATTTCTATTGTGATTATGCACGTGTGGAAGAACATCACATCACACATGATCCCTGAAAAGCATGGCTCTTTTTTCAAATGTCTACATATTCTAAACATACCATGTAACAGCTAAAAATGAGGACCTCATTTAATGCCCCATGTTTGTGTCGTCACATATACATTTTTCTGTGTACATTGCTTGTTACTTTTACCAAGACTTGGTCAAATGTCTTATCATTTTGATGATTCCAAAACCTTGCAGTACACACCGAAAGTGATATGCTGCATGATCAACTGTTTCTGATCGATTCCACACCGTTTCTTTCCCCATGGCCATGCAATCGCATGACCAGAACTCAACTTTATCTTTAAGTGAATGTTGTTAAAAACTCATTTCTTTCTTATTGCCGGTCATGCGTAGAAGACCTAGCATCTATCAAACGGAACATCAATAAAACCTAGGAGCTAGACGAAAGGTCATCATGTCAATTTCAATTATATCCGATAGATAATAAGTTATAACAAAGAGGCTTTCTTCGTAGGAGGCCAAGTTCTAGTATTAATTTGTAGGCAGCGCTGATTTCTGCAGCGACTCCAACTGTTCTAACATTTCACCCTTGACTATAGTTAATTTGAATACAATAAGAAACATTTTACCATATGATAGTGTCCTCTCTCCGCAGTATCAATTTCTTTCCAGATGTGTGACAGATTTTACATCGAAAATAAGTATTAAAGGGAGAATTCCAATAGAAGTCATCATTTCATCCAGTCAATATCCCTATATATCGTCGGACAATAGCTCATCTTGGATATGCCTATGGCGGGTTATGGAGTGGAGATTGTTATTTTCTAAAATGAGCTATTGCTATTATTACAGATACAGTACAACTCAAATCAAATATCAACAACTAGTTCCTTGTTGGATACAATACAGTGGTTAATATCAGCTGGTGTTACCGAGGTTGTAGTATCATATCATGAAAGTGACCGGGTGAAATCACAAGTGTATTGCACGTGTATTCCCTCATAAAATATCTTTATCTTCTTCATCCCTTTAAAATTGCTTTTTATTTTAATGATTTTGCGTGGTTGAGACTATGGCCCAAACCATGAAATATAAAACAGCAATACACCAGAGTCTGTACTCAGTTTTATCTTCTGCTCAATTTACATGTTTTATGAGATATAACCTCGTTGGAGTTTAATATTCACTGGAAATGCAATAGCCAGCCAATTGATTTTTAAATGAATTTTGACCTTTTTCGGCAGCTGAAACTGCATCTCAATTACAGAATTGAGGGTATTACACTTTTGATGAAATTGAGATTTGCATCGAACCACTTTAAGTGAGGCATTGTATAAGTTCTGCATGAATAATCAAACAATCTACTCAAAACGATTGCAATATGAAGGGAAATTGACTTTCACAATGCTCAACCGCAATTTGATAAGAAAGAAACACGCAATAGACTATTGCAAAGTGTGTCAAAATAGAAATGTGCAAATCCCTGTATTGCTTGATTTAATACTATTTTACAGTAAATGATAGCAAGCAGAGCACAAATATTTGTACCGAATAACGCCATTTGATAGCGGATTCCTGCGCTGTAGAAAACAAAAATATTTTTCCTATCATCAATTTGATTTGCGAAATGTTATTTTAAAAATAATATTATTATTATTATTATTACTTTGATATGCAATTTTTCTTTTTTGATATTACTGTTAGACAAACCGAAATAATGTGTCATTAGGTGTTTGTTTTCTTAGTTTCTAACTTGAAAACTATGAGTTTTATATCCATTTTAGTTTGAGCGCTATTTATGATTTCTTAGTCTATCAGTTGTACATTCAGACCGAGACAGCTCTTCCTTGGTAAGGTTACGCATCCGCTATGATATGAACATTCCCCAAAATATGATTCTATGGTATCTGTTTCTTACGCATAGATTAAATAAAGGCTTATCCTAAAAGTAATATTGATAGATGTGTTCATTGTCATGTTTTAAGTTTTAACTAACAATGTCTTAACTTTCTGAATCAATAAATATACCTTTGATTATGTATTCTCTTGTTGTTATGGCACAATTATAACGAATTTTAAATCAACTATTGAAAATAATGGTGCGGAATGGTGTGAATGGCCCATGTGTTTACACAATTTGTAATTTTTATCGTTTTCCTCTGCATGCAACCATGACAATGTTTTGTTGTTGTTCTGATACAGACAGTTCTATTTCCCAGCGGATGTCATTCGAGGAGGTAAATGATATTGGAGGTGGTATTAGGTTTAAGCAGTCTAGGCGTCTTAAGAGCAGGGTTACAGTTATATACCGCGAAATGAACCGTCATTTCCCACTTGTGATTGTGTGTTTTCATGCTGTTCTTGTTGTACTGTTCATTTATACACACGAGAATGAAATAGCTCCTAGAGGCGCTGCGACAAGATCAGAATTGAACAGGATTAGCGTAGCGAATAAAAAATGAATAAAAGACCTCGTGACAGTAATCCCAAGACAATTTCATGTTCTCCGATCTCAAAGAGGGTATACTGATTACCTGAAAGGCAGACAGGTAAATTAGAGCATGTTTTATACAGTCTGATGATATCTTCAATTTCTTGAATTACGCTTCGTAAATCTATTCTCTAATATAAGATTCAGGACAACCGTGCAGTTCAAATGAAATGACTTGGTAGTCGTTATTTTAAAGATCTTATATATTTTGCATTGAAAAAAAATGGGCATTTTGTTACGCCATATAAACACAAAGTACTGTTAGTAGATCAGATATCAACTTCACCTCCTGTTCAGATCATTCTCCCTCTTATTCGCTAAATGCCGTATAGCATACACCTTAAACTGTCTGAATATATTTTTTCCTGCGTCCATTGTTATAAATGTCTCTATATATACAATTTGTTTTAATCCGAACCCATACACACACACACGCACACACAGCACTCACGCACGGTTATGCATAACTTCCGAGTAATCGAGTTTATTTGTGCATTTTTTTCTGACCACTATATGTTTTTTTTAATGTAATTTTCGTCTTCCCTCATAACTCATCTCCCTCCAACTTCCTCTCTTTCTTTCTCTCTGTCTCACTCTCTCTCCCTCTTTCTCTCTCTTTCTGTCTCACTCTCTCTCTCCCTCTTTCTCTCTCTTTCTGTCTCACTCTCTCTCTCTCTCTCTCTTTCTCTCTCCCTCTCTCTCTCTCTCTCTCGTTCTCTCTCTCTCTCTCTCTCTCGTTCTCTCTCTCCTTGACTATCTCTACTTCTTCTTTCACTTTTATTTACCCCATGCGGAAAGAAAGAAGCGCCAAGGTCATAAAACTCGTCATGATTGTAGAATTGAGCAGTTTTCTGGTAAGCTAATAAGGTAACTTATCTCTGCGGTGAAATCCCAGAGTGAATACAAGTGTATGGGATAGCATTACATGAAGATGTTTTTGACATATGATCCTTTGCCAAACAATTTTCAAAACAAACCTTTTGCCAGCAGCAATTCCTGTTCTGTAAATTGAATTCTGAATTAACCGGTGTAACGAGGATTTTTTGCCAGCAGGATGCGTTTGGTATTGATGCGTCAAAACACATGATAACACGGTGATGTTCAGAATTGGAAAAGTTATAATGGTAACAATTGGCGGACGTTATACCACCATCGTATCCCTCCTGAATAAACCTACGTACTTGTCATATCTATCACGAACAAAACATATTCATATCCGAGATTGTTCATTCATGACTGACATTATTATTCAAGAAAACTAAAAATCAACATCCAAATGTTATTTTGATTTTTGTGTGAACAAATAGCATTAAATGGTAAACTTTAAGTTTTATCCAACTAATGCTGCTTGGAATATTACTATATTCTTAATTATTGTCCGCAAAGAACTATCGTCTCGTTTTGTTTTTCCTTCCCGGAATGTTGATACAACGTGAAATTTCCTTGGAGAAAGAGATGCATACAAAAGATCACCTACCTCGAAAATTTTGAGAATTTTTGATAATTTCATACCCCAAAACCTTTGGATTAGTATCTGGTCATAACCTTCAATTTGTAATTAAATATGTAATTCCAAAATGTGCATATTTAAAGATTACACAGAAGTTATAATTTAAATACAGTACACCTGGATCCTAGCCTCCTCTCTCTCAATTATAAAGTAATGTAAATAATAATACAATTCAGCAATCAATCGAGTCAACACAAATCACATAATAATGAGCGAGGTTACTGAATAAAAAAAAACTACTACAAAGAATTGTTGTAGAGAATAAATCCGTGTATTTTATTTACAGTTATGTACGAAGATGCTCGTACTGTCGGCTGGTGAAAGCAGTATAAATGCGACAAAAAATTGTGTATAAATTGTAGAATAAAGTTGATCTAAATCTTGTCTAAATCGAGACCAATTAGGCTATGATAGAGAGTAGCTATACATGCATAGGCAGTGAAAGGCGTTGTTGTAGTACAAAGTTATGTGAAAAGGGAAAATAAGATTCAAGAAATAAATTTACCAGAGTATGTCTGTGAAATCGTATTTACACTAAACTATCGCCATCAAGATATAGTACAACAAAGAAGTGTATGTTATGTACACACAATGACAAACATTACTTAAAATAATATGTACATACAGACCCCCCCCCCCCCAGTCCACACCCCCTTCCCGATCCCCTTAAAATCCGCATGCCGAATAAATATCTGATTTACATAATTTATTACAGAAGTACCTTTCGATTTAGTATAACCCATCTTATTATTGCGTTTTCTGAGTTTTGCGTGAAACAAAGCGATGCTAATACGGAACTCTGTTTTCATGAGCTGTTATAAACGATTGATCAAGATTAGCCTAAAGTTCTTGGTAAAGAAATGTGAGATGAATTGCATGACTTAAAGACTTTCAAGATATATTTGTATAGACTCCTGTCTAAAAGACTGTCGAAACATGATTATTTTCAATTTTAATCATTTGATGAAATTAATACTGAAATACGACGAGAAACACAACATATTGAAAATAAATTAATTCAAAACCATTAATAAATTAAAATATTTACTGAACATTTTCATTAATATAAACGCTCTAAACTCTGTAATTAGTAAGTGGCCGGAGAAAATAAATCATATTTACAATTCCCTTCCGATTTCGGAAAATTAATAGGTTAAACAAGAAATTGAAGAAAAAAAAATAATAAAGGTGAAAGACGCAGTCTATTAAAATCACATCTCCTTTTTTGTTCTTCAATTTCTCTTCCACTTATTTTCCAACATATTGACACAAATGTTTTAAGTTTAAGATTATAAATTCCCCCTTTTATCAATTCAAGTGAAACTAATATAATATTTAAAAAGGGAATGTAAATTAACAAATATTGAGCAGCGACAAACTCTTGTATTGTTGTATTTAAATTTTAAAAAAGAATGAACTGCGTTTAGAAGACTAAAAATAAGCGAAATATTGAGCCAGGCGAGGTTTATTTCTCTCTGGTAAAGTGTACCTGACATTATGATTTATTATTTTGGTCTTTACAAGCAATAATTTGGTTACAATTATTCATGGCAGTGGCCGGAGGAAAATATTCTTACTTTAAACACTGTGAACTTTTTATGATACTTGTCCCTGCATTGAAATATAACAGTGCAGCATCCGAGTTATCGTGGCTCTAGGTATACACTCTAGGCTCATTATTTTTAAAGGCAATCTGCTATGCTTAGAATTCTGTGTGAATATAAACTGATTCAATTAATCAAATACAAGGACAGTGATGCAATTGAACTAGCATGAAGTAGGCAAATGTGACTGAGCACACCCCTAGACTGAATTGCAATCAATACAAAGGCTATTGAATATTCAACACAACAAGTGTAGTGCATTCCAAGGTTTTGGGTGTTTCTTCTTGACTTCTTCTGTTCTGTCTCTAAGTAATGTGGCGAGACATTATAAGGAGATTACATAGTATAAAATTGTACACTTTGGACGGGGCAGATATAAAAACCAAAAGATAATTTTCCGAAACGAGACGTTTGGGAAGTTTGTTAAACATGTGAGGCACCTTGTAGCAAGTCATCATTCCCGGCAATGGCCGCCACCATGATTAGATTACCATTCCGGTCATCAGATGGACCGATCCGTTTATGGACCATGCGAGGGGAACCGGGTGCTTCGGATGTTAAACCGGATTGATGGGTCACGGAATGGGGATTCCCCGCCTGCGACAGCGTCTGGTTATTGACCCCATCATTCTTGGTGCCCCGGATGCGACTGGCGAACTTACTAAGGGTGACCCTAAGGTCGGAACGTAGGCTCTCGTTGAGGAAACAGAATGCGATAGGGTTGATGCAGACGCTACACATGGCGAACCAATGACAACAGAGATAGGTGAAGGCGTCTTTGTGGTGCGCCATGTATCGCGTGACTATCAGATACACATGTAAAGGTAACCAACAGATACCAAATACAAGTACGGCTAGGACTAACAGTCTTGTTGTTCGTATCTTCCTGCGAGCCGTTGCTGCTTGCTGAGCGGCCATGGTGTCACCAACAGCCCTGGTGGACCATAGCTTACGACCAATACTGATGTAAGAAGCGGCAATGATGGTGAAGGGAAGGATGTACTGGAAGATAAGAGTGCTCCAGGCTGTAGCATTCTCGATGGTGGACCAATGCTCTAGAGGATATCTCTCAATACAGGTGTACCCTGTTGTATCGCCCACCTTGTAGGTGATTAACTTCACGAACACAGCAAACGGAATCGCTAGTAGGAAGGCAAGAATCCATATTGATATCGCTATCACTATAGCAGTGGACATGGTGATACGAGGTCGTAATGGATGAACAAGGACACGATGTCGATCGATCGCGATGATAGTCAGGATGAACGTCGAGACGTAAACAGACATTACACCCATGTAGTCGACAAGGTGGCACATAACCCTACCCACAGCCCACAGGTTCGTCAATTGCTTGGTCACTACAAAGGGAATATTCAGTACGGCCATTAAGACATCCGACAGCGCCTGATTGGCCAAGAAGAAGTTGGTGACGCTCCGCATGCGAGATTTCCTCACGACAATGTAGCATACTCCGAAGTTACCCACAAACGATACGACAAATACAAGTGAATAGAGGAAGATGAAGACGGGACGGGAGCTACCCATGTTGGTGACGTGGAGACCCATCAAGTCTGGGTTTGATGATGAGATGTTGAGAGGATCCTCATCATCATCATCTTCTTGCGGTAATAGATCTGAGAGACATTGGAGGTATGCGCTGAAATTTGTAGCGCGGTATGTTTCACAAGCTAAACCTAGAACGCCCATCGTCGGCGACGCCGATGACTCGACGACTTCGGTCGCGATCGTGGACGTTGTGTCCGTAGACATCTTCTCGTCAGGCAAAGAAATGATCATACAAATCCGGTTGAGTACGTACGCTGAGAGTAGCTACGCCGGTAACTCTCCGTACCATTTAGAAAACTGCAGGGGAAGAGAAAGAGATACAGACAAAACTTATTTTATTTATAAAAGAAAAATAATGTTTTGTTTTAATTTGTTTGTTTGTTTTGTAATCAATTCTAAGAGCCTGTGGGATCATCTGGAAGATGAACAATGGTCAATAACGAAAGCTCGAGAACATGAAATTCATAAAAAAGTGATAATCATGAAATTCCAAAAAAAACATAGAATGCAGAAAAAAAATCATCTCGGCATCAAACTAGGTCATTTCAGGATTTATATGAGCCTACAACCGTAACAAATGTGATACACCGTTATCCATGGGGTCCATAATATGGGCCTACTAATACACATTGTTATCGCAATGCCTAGGGGGAAAGAATGGGTGAACGATCGAAGAGACGGAAAAGTGATTTTGTTATGCATTTATTTCGTGAAAGCCACTAAAGAGAACGGTCATGGTGTTTTCTGTATGGTATTGTTAAGTATTTCCAAGAATAACCCAGAAGGATAAGAGTTGAAAAGTGACAGTCCTGTCTCTTTTCATTCTCCCATCTATTTCTCTCTGGGATAGTTGAATAACGTACACTCAAACAATAGAAGAAGAGGATCACATTATAGGATAAACATGCATGGCGTCATCTCAAGATCCTCGGTGATTACAAGAGATAGAACAGAACCATTAAAGAATTAGTGCAACAGGCACGACGTAAATCAAAAGGAGAAATATTTAGACGGGGAAAACAACTAATGGATCCAGCAACAAGAAAACCTTTTTTACATACCATATCAACATGCTTAAGGCTTGTTGCAAATGACGCAGGCAATGACTGTGTCTTATTTTCAGTTGTTGTTCGTTTCGTTTTTGTTTTCTTATTTTGGGTGGGGTATTGTTTTATGTGTTTGTTTATTTCTTTCGGTGGGTGGGGTATTGTTGTTGTTTTATGCAAGCCAGTAGGGTTAAAAAGTTCGTTATTTGCTCGTTCATTATGTACTTAATCAAATAAATATTGATTATTTTTATTGGTTGTTTTATACTCTTATTTACGTTTAATTTAGTATTAAATATAAATACTTGATTTTCTTCAAAACTCTAAAAAAAGGTTGACATGAGGGGGGGGGGGAGTCACTGTCATTGTCAGTGCCATCGTCAATTTCATTTTCACTGCGTGTCATAACATAGAGTTTTACGCTTGGGTCAAATAGCAAAAGTGCTTCTTTTTAACGTGTCAAATGTGAGCGGACCTTTTATTTTTCAAGAAATTTGTTTTGCCTGGAATGCTACTGCACAAGCCTGCCGCATAAACCTAGACAGTTATCTCATCACGAACAACTTATTTGATTTATCGAACAAATTTGCATCCAGTCACGATCTGTCACCTCGAGGGAACACGGCGAATTCATTTTACATCGGTTACAACAAACACTTTTACCTTACTTATGCGAGAAAAACATCGTGCTATCTTTATATATTTATATATACAGTAAACAACTGAATTATTAGTACCCCTTGTAAATTTGATGTTTTTTGTGTTTTTCGGAACTCGAGAATGAAAGGTGGACTGGTTGCATTACGGCTTTTGTTGAATACTATAAAGATGTAAGTTTTACTATTGTGTCTCATTCTCAAGAAACATAAATCGACACGAATCAATTTTCATGTATTTAGAAAATTACAAAAATTAGTAAGGGTATGAATGATTTAGTTGTTAAATGTATATATATATATATATATATATATATATATATATATATATATATATATATATATATATATAAGCGCGTACACAGGGGGGGGGGTTGGGGGGTTAAACCCCCCCCCCCCCCATTGGTAATCTTTTTGTGTGTTAACCCCCCCTAAATTTATCTAAACCCCCCCCCCCCCGCGTACGCGCCTGTATATATATATATATATATATATGGTCTTTTTTATTTAGAAAATGAATATTTCCATCACGCATAAATTGCACATTTCGTGAAACAGATTAAAATGACAAACAAAATGGAGAATTGGTCCCTCAGCGAACTTTGTCTAATTCCCATACCTGATCTGAAATCAACTTGATATTAACATGATTTAGATGGATTTCCACGTTAAGTCGGTAATTGCGGTTTTATGGTATGATACTGCGAGATAAAAGGGGGTCTGTCTAATTTAACTGACTGTGTAACAGCAGTATTGCATCAAGGGAATTGTTTTCTAAAACAATGAACAGTACTTCGTGCTTGGCATTGTATATTCAGCAGCGTGGATACAAAATGGCGCCTCTTTCTAGGCCAGCACGAAAAACATTTCTCTCCACTCATAAGGAAAAATTACCTCTCTCTTTTGACAACATATATCCCTTTTATATTTTCATGTCTTCTTCTACTTTGTATATTACTAATGTTACATGGATTATTGTTTCCCGTTACATGGTAAATCCATTGTAAAAGAATATGCAATTCGGTCCCCAAGTAGTCATTTTTGTTTAGATCAACAAACCGTTTTAAATAAATAAGACATAACCTCCAGTGCTAACTGGAAGTCAGTCTTCGAAATAAAAGAGGTCGCCGAATCGAATTTCACCCTTCACGATCTAAATGTGTAGGGAATCTCTATCATGTGTAAAATAGATCTACTAGGAGTTAATTGACTGAGCCTGATTTAATGCCTTTCCCCGTTGCCACTACCTGTGTTTTCTCTTGTTGGTTTGTTATTGTGGTTGTATGTTGCTGTTGTTTTTTGTTTTTTACTGTTTGCTTCAATTAGGATATATGGCATTTACATATTTGTATCATATACATTTTACTCATTTCGTTATTCTCTATATTCAAATCCTTATTTATAACCTGGTTTGCAATTTTTTGTTTGTTAAAATCATATTTTGTAATTTTTTATATATATTTATATTTTGATGTGTTGATAAAATGTATATACTTGTTTGTGTCATGAAGGGCCTCAACGAAAACCAGTATTTATTTGCTGATTGGGCTACCCTTCTTTTTAAAGATGTGTAATAAATAAATAAATAAATAAATAAAATGGTATACATCCATAAATCATTTATTCTTTCTCTGGCCTAGTTTCTATGGAACTTAAAGATGAAGTTGAGTTCTGGTCATGCGATTGCATTGTGAAAGAAACGGTGTGGAACCGACCAGAAAAGGTTGATCGTCTAGCATATAAGAATTCGTGTGTATTGCAAGGTTCTGGAATCATCAAAATGATAAGAAATTAGGCCAAGTCTTGGTAAAGTTACAAACACTGTACACAGAAAGATGTATATGGGACTACACGAACACGTGGCGTAAAAAGCCAGCCCCCCCCCCCCCCCCGATTTTTACGATGTTACATGCATATTTAGAATATGAAGGCGTTTGAAGAGCCATGCTTTTCAGGGAACATGTCTTATCTGATGTTATTTCATACTTGCATAATAAGAATGAACAACGCTCACAAATTATTTTTCACCTCTTCCCAGAACTCAACCTTCTCTTTAAACTATACTTCCTTAAAAACTCTGTTCTATAGTGAACCACCTCATTCCACCCCCCCCCCCTTTCTATCTCTCTCTCTCTCTTTCTCTCTTTCTCTCTTTCTCTCGCCCACTTCCTCTCCATCTTACTTTCACTCCCTCACTCTCATTCCGGCAAGAGATGAAAATACTAAAGAAAAAGTCAAGTTTGCTTGAAAAGTGAAACTCTCTTTTTATATTAATACCTGTATATTGATTTCAAACACTGAGTCAATTAATTATCAGCGCGTGGGTGTTCATACAGTTTGAGATATTTTCCCTCAGGCATAAACTAAGATTAGCTCGTTGTCTTTCTCTCTTATAATTACCCATTGAAATGACTTTGATACGTAAAGTGATACCCTTGATTTTTCATACGGGGTTTTTTCCCATCCACCTGAAATGGAATATCCTGTCAAAAATGGAAGAAGAACATTTGGGGGCTTAAGGGGAAAAAGTGCCCTTGAACAGGATGTGTTTAAAGTTGAATCCTCTGAATGCACTCAGTGAGTATCAAATGTCACCTTTAAAATATGTTATTTTCTAAACCGTTAACAAAATAATGGTGTTCCATTCGTATTCCTACTCTGGCCAGTACTGCTGTGTTTATAATGTTTTAAAGGATTGATAGGTAGCTCAGAGAAGGAAGAGTCACTGTCACTACTTTCTTGTCATATTATTAAACCATCCATTTGTTAGATCCAATGTGAAATCCTGATTGTGCAAGCAGATTGTCCGTACAACATAGCTTTTTCGCTCCCTTTGTATACAGATTTCTCGCACATCCTTCGAGATTCGTGAAAGTGTTTCAAATCGGAAATAAACCAAATATCGGCACCGTTGGCCCCTCACGTACTCTCAACTTTGTCTTTCGTTCTTCATCAAGGATCGAGAAATTTGCATTCTGCTCCGAGTATAGTGCAATAAACTTTACACGCCTTATGCCAAGGCCTTTGCGGGGAACCAGGACAAGAAGAGGAGTTTAAAAGGGAGCGCCATGTCAGCCTGATGGGATTCCAAAGAAGCCCACTCCCTTACACCCTTACCCATTTCTGACGGCTAAAAAAAGAAATCGCTAGTGGAAATTCAATGTCAACCTGAAAGAATGAAAATGAAAAAACATGTGTAAAATCGAATTTGTAGTTTCGCTAGAAGGAGGAGGAGGGGGGTACCATTAAGTGTCAATAAGGAGACCGAACCTCAAAGTCTTTACGAACTCGGAGGTGAGGGGAATAAGGGTGATAGTATTGAGGGCGCAAATCCATTCTTTTCCATTTGAATTGGGACAAACTCTAAGAACATTGGCATAACTAAATCTGTATCTGTTACACAGTTGGACGAAGATCATTGCCTGTCCTGACTAAGAACACGTAATTTTTTGAAATTCGCATTCTGACTAATGAAATACATTACGTCGTAACAACTGGATGAAATAATTTGTAATGAGGCACTTAAAACAGATTTGTGCATTTAATTTGATTACATTTCGAAAATGGCCTAATGAGAACAGTCCAAGCAGTGGAC